AGGGGTGTCGCGAACTTTTGTCGAACCAGATTTTTAGGTCAAACTTCCGGGGTTCAACTGGGTCGAACCGGTTCGATGAACGTTTGAACTAGGGGTGTCGCGAACTTTTGTCGAACCAGATTTTTAGGTCGACCTTTCGGGGTTCGACTGGGTCGAACCGGTTCGACGAACCTTCGAACTTTTCACCAGATTCGACCGGTTCAACTTTGTGGACACTGTGGCCAGACCTTGATACAAGCATGTCTAGGTTTGGAGAATTTTTTTTTGTATGCAATGGGTTATTTTATTTTATGAACAGTTGCAATAGACTACTTCCATAAAGCCCTGCATGCAACACGGCGCGCGTTGCACTCTGGGAACTAGTTGGCCAGGGAGGGGGGTGGCATGGTTTCGGTATCGATCGACACGTCGATAAGATATTGTTTTCTGGTCCCAAGAGCGTCATTTGTGGTCTCTAAACTAACCTAAATGGCCAGACCTCGAAGCTTTAGCACAAGCCCGAGACGTAGAGCTTGTCTTAACACATGCTTGTTGTATTTTTGTACCTGAGCCTTCCTGTTAGGTATGTATTTTTGTACCTGAGCCTTCCAATCGAGGTATATGGATGAGCCAGTGCTGGGAGTCTTGACGCTGCGAAGCTCGGGGATCTTGCTTGTGTACGAATCAAAAAGCTGTAGCAAACAATAAGTATGCATACATCGAGCTCGCGCCTTTACATTAGTGTTGTTGATCAGGAAGTTTGTTTGCTTCGTGCGTCCATAGACGAAATATTTCTTTTTGCAATTACTGTTTTTCTTAATGTACCTGAGTATGCTAGGTAAAACTCGGAGGTGCCATTGAAAAGCTCAATTTTAACACACTTCTTATTTCTTATCTGTACTGACCCGCAGCACTGCACGAAGTGAAGTCCCCACCCGCTTGCATTTCACTAATATTCAACATCGCGTATGCGCATAAAGTTATCCTCCAATCATATAGGCACATTCGCGCATACTGACCGTTTTAAGAATGCAAAAGTCGAGCACTTGTGTGAAGAATGTCGCACCGTTCACCGGAAGTGCGTCAGACGGGCATGAACCCCTATGCGCACCGCATTGGGGTTCATGCCCGTCCGGCGCACGGTGCGACATTCTTCAGACAACTCCTCGAACGAATTCAAAGCGCATTTGACGGTTGCTAATGGCCATAATATTTGTTATGTGTTTTCTTTCTTCCTGCCTGAGTATGCCGAGATAATTTCAGACAACCCGTTCCCGGCACAGATCTCGGGCGTCAGTAAAAGCTGGTCCAAAAAGGCTTACCGAGGAGTAGGGGACGCTTGTTAGGGCCTCCGTCGTAGCTAGCCGGTCTCAGCGTTTGCGAAAAGTTAATCTTCTATCAGCATAAAATTTGAGTGGGAGATATACGATGACACGAGGAAGACATCATAGTAACTTCCGTGCAGTAGTGAGGTCGAATTTATTGCGTTTCCTTAAAAGTTCATGCGTAAACGCTGGCCTCAACTTTGATACCCTGTGAGGATGCGGCTTGCTTTTCGCCCAATGAAGTAACAAGAAGCGGACGTTTGGCAAATAAAATGCGTGTAAGGCTCCAGACGAACAAATTTCAGTTGTAGTTCACTGGTACTACACGGGATTACTGACATTGAGCTCAAAGATGCACTCGTGGGGTGAGGTGACTAAGCCACGACTTACTACGTTCGCATACGCACGCAGAATATCCGGTGTTTCGGGAACCAAGGAAAGTACCCCGGTCTTCGTTTTGTATCGATCGAGAATGAGTGTATTGTACGTTCGTGAAAAGTCAGATAATCGAAAACGCAAGCCGCGCGTTCGGTCGCGGCGTGATAGCATGAGATGAAGTTGCTCAGTCGAAACCGAAACTGAGTGGCCAACTAGTTCCCAGAGTGCACTGCGTGGTATTTCGCCGCGATGGGGCGCGTCGGTTTTGGAAGAGGTTCATTAAGAGAAATAAATTTTTATCACTGAAGAAGTTAACTTAATTTTTTGTACTGAATTAACTGAAAGAACCAATCAGCGCTGCCCTTGATTCATCACTTAGCCATCACCATCTAATCCGAAGCCAACTGGTCAGCCTGTCGCGCATGCGCACACGAGTCGAACCTCAATGCAAGGTTCGCCGAACTTTTCACTAAAAGTTCGAAAAAGTCGAACCTGGTCGAACTCGAACCGCGGCCGGTTCGCGACACCCCTAGTTTGAACTTTTAACCAGATTCGACCGGTTCGACTTTGTGGACAGTGTGGTCAGACCTTGATACAAACATGTCTAGGTTTGGACTTTTTTTATGCAAAGGGTTATTTTATATTGTGAGCAGGTGCAATTAAAAGAAAATAATTCTAATCAATGAAGAAGTTAATGACTTCATTTTTAGTACTCTATTTACTAAAATAGCCAATCAGCGCTGCGCTTAATTCAACTTTTAGCCATTATCATCCATTCCGAAGCCAAATGGCCAGCCTGTCGCGCATGCGCACACGAGTGGAACCTCAATAGAAGGTTCGTCGAACTTTCCACTACAAGTTCCAAAAAGTCGAACCTGGTCGAACTCGACCGCGGCCGGTTCGCGACACCCCTAATTATGATTTTAAGCCACAATATGGCCGTGTCGTTACTCTGAAGCGTAGCTAGCTCAGAGCTGGCGTAGTGGCACTAGTGCGACCCACTGTTCTCTATTAGGGGTGTCGCGAACTTTTGTCGAACCGGATTTTTAGGTCGAACTTTCGGGGTTCGACTGGGTCGAACCGGTTCGACGAACCTTCGAAACTTTTCAGCAGATTCGACCGGTTCGACTTTGCGGACAGTGTGGCCAGACCTTGATACACGTATGTCTAGGTTCGGAGAATTTATTTTTATGCAAAGAGTTATTTTATTTTATGAACAGTTGCAATTAAAAGAAACCAATTTTAGTCAGTGAAGACGTTAGTAACTTAATTGTTTTGTACTGTATTAACTGAAATGACTAATCAGCGGTGCCCTTAATTTATTCCTAGCCATTACCATCCAATCCGAAGCCAACTGTCCAGCCTGTCGCGCATGCGCACACGAGTCGAACCTCAATACAAGGTTCGTCGAAATTTGCGCAAAAGGTTCGAAAAAGTCGAACCTGGTCGAACTCGAACCTCGGCCGGTTCGCGACACCCCTATTCTCTATCTCGCATCCCAGCTCCGCGAGTGCGGCCGCCGGACACCATTTTGCAAGAGATTTTTGTTGTTTTTTGTTAGCGTAGCTAAGACCGGCGGCAGCGTGCCGAAGACACGTTTTCTACTCGTTCGTCGTCACTCGCCGCGGCGCTTCGGCGTGCCAAGGAAGCCTTGATCACACCGCGGGACCGGCGACACTTGCTTTCGACGAGTTGTACCTTGATTAGGGGTGTCGTCGACCTTGTATTGAGGTTCGACTTGTGTGCGCATGCGCGACAGGCTGGCCAGTTGGCTTCGGATTGGATGGTAATGGCTAAGAGATGAATTAAGTGCAGCGCTGATCGGCTATTTCAGTCAATACAGTACTAAAATTTAAGCTATTAACTTCTTCAGTGAATTGAATTAGTTTCTTTTAATTGCAGCTGTTCACACAATAAAATAACCCTTTGCATAAAAAAAGAAATTCTCCAAACCTAGACATGCTTGTATCAAGGTCCACAAAGTCGAACCGGTCGAATCTGGTGAAAAGTTCGAAGGTTCGTCGAACCGGTTCGACCCAGCCGAACCCCGAAAGTTCGACCAAAAAATCTGGTTCGACAAAAGTTCGCGACACCCCTAACCTTGATTATATGGATCACCCGCTGACGGTAACTCTGTCAAATGGACACGACACCTCCTTCTCGAAGTCATTCTTGAAAAAAACTGATATATACAGGGTGTCACAAATGAAAATTTACACAGTCTTTTTTACCGCAAAAATAAACTAGGCATCGCCGAACGCTCATTCTACGCCCAAAGGTAGAGCTAAAGGTCACAACCAGATGCCAAAGTTTCAGCCCGATCCGATAACTTAATCAGAAGTTATTAGTGATTTTCTGAAAATTTCAATGGGAAAATGGAGCCGAATTTTGCCCGTTTTCGGTTTCTGGCGCCATAGAGCCCCATGTGTTTGAAAACTCCGTCGGCCGCCATTTTCCCATTGAAATTTTCAGAAAATCGCTTATAACTATTGATTAAGTTATCGGATCGGGCTGAAACTTTGGCATCTGGTTGTGACCTCCAGCTCTACCTTTGGGCGGAGAATGAGCGCTCGGCGATGCTTAGTTTATTTTTGCGGTAAAAAAGACCGTGTAAATTTTCTTTTGTGACACCCTGTATTTCCCGGTTATTATCGGTTATTGGTAAATAGAGAGTTTTAGGGAACCGTTTTTGCACAACCCAGGCAAAACTGCGCATGCGCTATATCTGAAGACTGACATGCGCATTTCGTACCGTATCGGGTGTGCAAAAACGATTACCTAAAACTCCCTAATAATTCACGGTACGGTGACGGTTTCCATAGATTTCAAATAACGATTTCATTCCGGTTACGGTTGCGGTTTGAGTCCCTTGCTTCGATCATGCCGCGAGACCGGCGAAACTTGCTTTCGACGAATCTTTTTCTTGCGGCGCTGACCTTTCGTACGATTTTCACGTGATCTCAAATGCAAGTTTCATCGTTTTCACAGGGCGAATGGCGACGAACGAGTGGAAAACCTGTCTTGAGCACGAAGCCGGCGGCCTCTGCAACGCTCGCGAAAATGTGATTTTGTTCATGCAAGATGGCCGCCTGGAGGCCGCTCTGGCGGTGTGGGGATGCGTGATCCAGCGTGGTGGCACATATGTAAGGAAGTTTTAATTTGCACAGAAAATTAATGGGTTAGCATACAATCTAACGTAAAGTCCAGGAGAGGCTAGGTGATGCACCACTAGTATTTATTGGTATTTATCTATCCATTTGGCGACATCTGGCCACCCCTTGCGTACTAAACTGACGAAATATTCGAGTCCCTGCATCGGCCGAATCTACCATCTCCATGGGACGCGATCAATATGAAAGGCGGTTAAAAGATCTCTCACCGATTTCAACGTAAGTTAAAATTCCTTTTCGAGCGTCTGACTGCCTAACTGGTTTCGGTGCTGCCCTCATCCGAACCCGGATAAATTGATATGTACCGTTGCTACACCGGTCATCAAAAAAGACGCGACTACTGGGTGACTTCTCGGTGTGGAAGACCTGGCGCTTCGAGAACTTGTTTTGTTTTTGAGGTTCAAATGTGCGTTTCCGCTGGCCAAGCGCCCATGCAACGAAAACAAATATTGCTCGTTTTATTCAAGAAGCACCCGTTGTCTATTGTTTAACCATGTAAAAAAATCGTTTGTTCTTTGCATAGTGGAGCCTCAGAGCGCGGGTTCGTAGCTTCGCAGCGGGCTTGTGACGAACGCCACCACATAGATTGTTTGGGACCCTCGAGGACTACATGTTTTTGTTGTTGTTATCGTTTATGTCAGTGTTCGTGTTCTTACGGAGCTGAGCAAATCGAAGACGGTATCATCGGCCTTAGTCTGCTTCGGGTTTTATATGTGTTGGATTTGAGCGGAAACTAGGGGCAGCCACACGTTCCAATCGTCTTCAATTAGTTGGGCGCGAGCTTGATAGTGCTCAATATTGTATACCTCTACGCGAGTTTGCTTGTTATGGACGTTTTTGTTTTTGCGTTGGGTGGAATTGTGACCTTTCGCTGTTCAGTATTTCTCTCTTTTAATACTGACAACATCGACAGCGGAAGCACTTGCCTGGCCCGCATTGGCACATTTGGCAATCTGATGACTTTTGCGTCAGCGTTTGTGTTTTTCTTTCTTGGGTTCTCGTTCTGTCTTGTCTTGGGTCCTTGGCCATCGTGTGAATGTTCGGGTGCAGTCTTTTTCTCGGCAGCATTTGCAAAACCAGTCGTTTTCGTATGTCTCGTTTTTAGCATTTGCACGAATGTGCTATTTTATAGACCCGAAACTATTGCAGGCAGGTGGTGCAAACATCTCTGTTACTACTATTCGCAACTTTCACGACCTATAGGAGGCGCAGTGGTGACTAACAAATTAGCCATCGTCTGGATGGTCTGCGTAGAACGACAGTACAAGGTTAGGTCTATGACGCGTCAGTAGCCAACTTTTTTCCAGTAAGATTCCGTGCTTGCATACAGCTTCTCCCCCCGGCCTTGCTTCTAGCTGTTAGCATTTTTGGAGAGCACCGTCCCGCACGATCAACATTGACAGCACCTATCTTTGCACATATTTAGTCTTTACTTTTTTTTTTTTTTTATCGGTAGTTTGGAGCATAAAAAGCAATGACAACAAATACTATGCCACTGTGTCAATCTGTTCTGATGGGGGGAGCCTGTAGAGGGTGCGCATAAAAAGTTCAACTTCTGCATTTGGTAAACACGAGGAATATTCTATCGTTATATCAGTATTTTATGCCAGGAAGGTGTTAAAAACATCTTTATTGTGAGGTCTGTCGTCCACTAACTAGCTAGCACAATTCTCATACCGTGGTACCACCATCGCTGAAAGTTGTAATTTTGTCAGAGTCAGATACAACATAACGAAGAGAGTGCAAGGGTGAAAAGGGTGAAAACTAAGAAACCTGAAGAGGAAAGGAGCGACCTGCCTTACACAACGGATTTTCTCGTGCGCGCCCTTTTCCCCCTCGCACCATCTTTATGTTTTACCCTACTATAGCAAGCGACGTCCCGAAACCAGGACAAGGTTGTGTCTTATAAACCCTTTTTGAAATTCAGTCCGGCAACTTTGATCAGTATCGTCATCTCGGTCAAGTACTGGTGGAAGGCAGACTACCTCTGAAAAAGGAAGTAAAAGTAGCCAAGAGAAAGATGTGGGAGGAAAGAATGCAGTGAAAATCAGCTTTAACTATGTATAGGGGACTGAAACAGGAAATAAGGAAGGAATATTGGTATGATAATTCACGGGGGAGCTCGTTGTTATTCGAGGCTAGAACGGGAGTATTGAGGTCTAGGACATATAGGACAAAGTTTGAGAAAATGGAAACGTGCTGTGCCGTATATTAAGGGGAAGACGTGACAAGAGAACATGTGGTGTTAAGGTGTACAGGGATTGGTCCCGCCCTCTTGGTAGGGGATCATTGGGTTTGGCCTGAGCACTGGGGTTTGCAGATGAGAATGGATGATAAGGGCATTTTAATAACGAAGAGGAGATTGAAAGACTGGTGGAAATTATCTAGGGAGAATTGAATGACGTACAACTGACTGACACGTTGGGGACAGGCGGGACAGAGGAAAATTGGGACTCCCTCCTGCGTGGCTCCGGCCCAAAGTCTCCACCCCTGTCTCCCAGCGAGCCCAGCGCCGGGGTAATGCCGACTAGGTTTTACTAGAGGAAAATTGGTGACTCTCGCTGGGAGAGAGGACGTGATGTTTTTAGTTGTTTTGATTGCCTGATCTTCCCAAGGTCATCCTGGTGATATCCCACACCGCCTGATTATAGTAGTTGTAAAATTGCGGAGGGTAAGCAAATTGACAAAGGAAAGAAATCATATTTTTGGTTCTTAATTTTTGGCTAGGTGGCGCAAGCTGCCCTCCGTTACTGCCCTCCGTTATAAAGGGTACGGCCATTAGCATCCATCCTCGGTGTATGGCATCTGCGCCAAACTAGTGGTGGCCTTGATGCTGATGAAGGAAGTAGTTGACGATACTACTAAGTTACTGACTTTGCAGCGCAAAAATAGTGCACACACTAGTATTTAGGACAAGATGCAGCATACACACAGTGTTGTGTTTTGTCCCAAATACTAGTGTGTGTGCTATTTGTGTGCCGTAAAGTCAGTAACATGTTCAACCAACTCTCCCAAGCATCAAGCGAAGGATATTTGAGGCCTGTCCCTTCGAGATGTCAATACAATGCGACGCATGTATTAGTTAACAACAGCTGCGTGAGCGTTCATTTTGAAGAATGGGTCGGTGCTTTGTGCCGGTCAGTTCTTGCGTTCACACCGTCAAAACTGAAACAGATCGAGAGATAATTACGATGTGATCGAGGAACCAATTCTCATCTGCCGCTTACGCTCGAGACTGACGATGCCCAATGACATGCAGTTTCATGACCGCCTTTAGTTTCTCAAAAGTGAAACTGCTTTTTGAACTATCAGATGGCCCTGCATCTCCAAAAAGAGTGTATTGTTCTTATTTTTCAGCGACTTAACGCCGACTTTGTTCACACCATGAACCGGCGGACGACGCCAGCTGCGCGGAATGAGGTAAGCCTGAATTTGTCTGTTACGTTGCTTTGCTCCGTTTCACCTTACGGCGGACAGCAGAGGACTGTACGAGCCAACAAAGCCGATCCAATGCCGCGCAGGTGTCGCTTGCCCTTGAGCCCTTCGGGAAGGGCGCGCGACTCGCGGTGCATGTAGCCATGCAACACTTTCTCAGCACTGGACTTTCTGGAATGGTTTTTAGCGTCCACTGCAGTTCGTTGTAAGATGAAGTGGAATATAGTGTGTGGGTTCTCAATCTGGGTTCCTCAAAGTGCCCTTGTGCATTCCCGAGCTCCCGAATTTCCTTGGCTCTCTTGCCCCCCAGTAAAGCATCCTTCCAGTCTAAGCACAGCCCTAAAAAATTTGAGCCATCCTGTGATACATATGTAAGTGTCAAGTACTCCTTGGTACCAACTTTTTTTGTTTTCTGGGTCCGCAGTCTTCTGCACTGCTTCACTTCTTCAATGCTAAGACTGGAAGCAGTCCCCTGGCTGTCGACATAAAGAAATGTGTGTTCCTTGACGTGGATTTAGGCCAGTTGGTTCATGATCTTAAAAGCTATAAAAGTACCAAAAACAATGAAGACGAAATAAAACAAACACAAGGTGGGTTTGTTTGTGTTAAGAGATGCGTGTTTGCCGACACGCATCTCTTACGTCACGCCGCAGCAGTGGCCCTTAAGTCTGTGCTGCTCATGTGCAGACGCTTTTCTTTCCATGAATCTTGTTTCTGCACACGCGCAATGCCCATACCTAGTGTGGGCAAGCGCTGACTCACTGCAAACAGCGTGTTGGTCTATGCCAGGGGTGGCCAAGCTGCGGCTCGCGAGCCGCATGCGGCTCTTTGTGTGTTAAAGTGCGGCTCGCGGCTCCCTCCCCTACGCCCCTACGCCCCTCCCTCCCCCCCCCCCCCCCCCACAAACACACACGCACACACCCCCCGCCTCCCTCCCGGTCACATGAGCACTTCCCCGAAAAGAGAAATGAAACGGGTTTTAAATCGAAAGACATGTTGAGGTTTGGCAGTCTTGTGTTTCTTTGAACTCGAATAGATCGAAAGTAATTCGAGTTTCGTTTATTACTCTAAACAAGTCCCCCCCCCCCCCCCCCCCCCCCCGGCTCTTGGAAATTTCGTGGTTTTGTTTGCGGCTCTTAGGCTGGGTCAGCCTGGCCACCCCTGGTCTATGCCTTTAAAGACTGGGGGGATTGCCCATCTCAGATAGAGCTGCCATGGTACATGTATCTCTTGATAAGCTCCTGCATAAAAGTAATTGCGTTGTGTGTATGCATAGACAGCAGGAAGTTAGTCGGCCCCAGTGGGTGCCTGGTGTCTCTGCTGCGAATGAGAAATTAGGCCAGTGCTGTACCACTGCTAGCCTGGTGTAATGCTCATCAGCCAGTAGTGACTACACGATTGTACACCAGTACAGTGCTGTTTGGGTAGAAACGGGCAATCCCCTTCCACTTCTGTGCTGCCTCACATTTCCACCCATTGCCCTTCCTTTCCCCCACGAAGCAGGCGGAAACCGGCAGGCACGTCGCGGCGGAGAAGAAAGAACGGCAGACGGCCACGGTGGATGCCGCTGTGCATCGCAGGAAGTTCCGAGAGGATGACCGGAATCGACTGGCACAGGGCGGCGATGGCGGCGCAGTCGCGAGGGCAGCAAAGAACTCGACATCCAAGGAACAGAAGCCGGGAAGAGAGATGGGCGCGCACCAGTATGACCTCGGCAAGCAGGACCTTCTCAAGGTACGGGCGTCTCCGTTTGCAGTCGTGCCAGGTGTAGTCGGCTTTTGTTTTGCCCCAACCCGTCAAATACGGGTTACACCAAGGCTGTGACGCCTGGAATGTGTTGCGGACCGGTGCGTGTGCTGCGTCCTTGTTTACGGTCCCTGGACTTCCCGCCCAGTAATTTCACTTTTGCTTCGTGCTCTTTTGCGCCGCAATCCCTGAGTGGATCCGGCAGACGCGTGCCCTGCCGCAGGTGGTTTTCCAACTCGACGGTTCACGGAAGAGCCAGAAGTCGGGACACTGCAACGGCGACGCTTGCAATCACTTCTGTTTTGTTGGAACTCCTAGGTCGCAAACTTCTAACATCATAACACTCTGGCTGCTGCGATATAATTTGCGGCCGCTTAGGGCATCATTTTTTGACGCTTCGGCGGTACGGGACGCTAAATGCACCGGCCCAGAACGCTTTCTAGGCGCCGTACCTAGACTGCGGCTCGTTGATGAGGGAGTCGTCGTTTGTCAGCAAGGTACTTGTAATCCTGTTAAAACAGTGGCACAAAGTCCTTGCTTGGCACGGCTGCGGGGTCTTCAACGAAAGCATTTCATGCTTTCAACCTAACTCGGTGTCCGAGAAAGGGCCGTGATTTTTTGTAATGCGACGGTCGAAGTTGAGTTGAGTGCAAAGTTAAAGGAACTGGGAAAAAGATTGACAGTGGTATGCGTCTTGTCGGAGCCAGTCTGTTGTGCAGTTGAGGTCCTCCTTTCGCGTGGCAGTGCAGTCAAGGCTGTTTCTCTGTTTTATCCTTTTAACGTAAAACATTCTTTCGCTAGGTGTTCTGCATTTCATGAAACCCAGATAAAGGTGAAGCCCAGATAAAAGCGTGGCCTCAAGGCTCCACGCTGACTGGTTGACAGGTGGGAGAGGAGGAGTGAGGTGCCCAACGCTGATTGGTTAACGGCGAGGTTACGTGACTAGAGGGGTGGGCGAGGAGTAGCTAAACCAGTGCCACCCGTGTGCACCTGGAAGGCTCTGAAGATAGCCAGGCTTATCAGTTGATTAGTGGTAGTATTGCTTCATTCTAGGAGCAACCACCAAGTGTCCACATGCTATGCCTTAAACTTATCTGATGAAAACTGCCGTGAACATAGGCGTCTGGCATCTTGAAACTCGGAGTATCACTAAAGGTTTGCGATGCTAGTATGTTTCACGTGTGCAACATAACTACGTAGCAATTTGCCATACATTTTTTTTTTATTTTGGTTGTTTGTTTTTCAGTTGAAGGAGGAGATAGAGAAGACGGCGAGCGTGGTTCAGACTCGGACGAGTTCAACGTCGTCGTCGTCGTATCACACAGCAGCGGAGCGCCACAGCAAAAGTGGTAAGTCTCCGCACGTTATCTGGTTGCCGGTTGTTGGCGACGTGCGTCGAACAGTTTGTGCTCCAGAAAGGAGAAGGGAACTTTGGATGCTTTTAGTTTTTGACACATGGTGAAAACACTGCAAGACTGGAAAAATTAAGCAACAAAAAACGGGCAGGTACAAGGGACGCCTCAGGCCTAAAGGCTAGTAGATATTCGCGTTTAAGTGTTGCCGACCGTGTTATGACTCTTGGGTCCCACCGTGACACATTGCTCGGAGTTGAAGCATGATGGCGCCTGTATGCCAATGGGCGCGTTCAGTAGCGCCTCCCTTGCCTCCGAACGGAGTGCCTCGAGTCGGAGTCATCGGAGCGCCTACTGAACGGCAAAAAAACCCGCGGCTCCAAACCTGCTTCCACGCAACTTCCGCTTCCTCCCCTGTGCCAGACGGTCTCCGAATAAACTGGAAGCAGACGATGGCAAGCACGATCGCTTTTATTTGACGCCGGTATTGAAGAAGTCTTGACAAGGTCGTTGAAGAAAAAGCGGTTGATTGTACACATCAGCGCTGCTGTTCGAAGCGATGCAACGCGATCGAGCCCTTCGCTTGGCGGCGCAAAGGCAACTACTGTTATAAAAGCCGACAAAAATCGTCGTCAGTACACGCAAAATACAGAGCTCAGCGAATCTACCCCGCCGGTTGCGATACTTTTATACGGCCATAAGTTTGTTCTGCCCTTCGTAACGAACTTCCTATAAAATGTATTCGTATACACATGGGAAGTTCGGCCGCGCTCGGCGATCAAGGTTTTGTCGGCCGAAGCGAGCCTCAGTCAACGTGCACCCCGATTTAGCTACGCAAACAAAACATTAATCGGTATCATGCTCTGCGTGAGTGTCCAACCGGCTTCCAAAGTCGCGTTTATACCCTGTTTTGCTCTGTTGAGCGCGGACAGGACTATCGTCATACCAAGTTTCCGTGCAACGGTGATCAAGACACGGCGTCAAATGAACGTTTGCGTTGTTTATTAGAACATTCAAACCAAACAAGATACGGTCCAATGCATTTTCCGAAAGAGCCTTACCTGAAAAAGATAATCGAACGCGTTATTCGTCTTACCTTGAGCACTTTTCATTAACAAAAGCGAGCAAACCGCGCACCCGCGACAGAACCGAAGCAGCTTATTCCGCCATATTGTTTGTTTTTTCCTCTTTTAACGCCGGAAATTGTCACCAGTCAGGAAATGACGTCATTTTAGCTCCTTTGACTCTACGTGCACCGTCTCCGGACTCGGTGCTTCGGAGCTTGACTCCGAAGCCCCGGAGTTACGTGCACCGGAAGTGACTTTTGGCCGTCCAGTGGAAGGAGTCAGTGACTCCTTGACTCCGGGGCCGCTACTGAACGCGCCCAATGGCACTTGAATGCTTCCGGCCCTGAATTAGGCTGGCACTTTTACAGTATTTGCAAGATGGAATCTAGGCAGTGCTGTTCTGTTAGCAATGGTCAGTTGCAACCTTACCAGAAATACTTCAAGCCCATAACGAAAGAATAACGCATGAAAAATTTAAGAACATGCACAGACCGGAAGTGGGTCAGGGCTACTAGCAGACGACGCCAAGGTGTTATTTTGTTTGCAGTGCTCTCGGTCACATTTAAAAGCAGATGTCTGAACCAGCCTTTTAATGTTATGTGTGTTTGTTCTTTTATTTATTTTCCTAGTCTCGGGCGAATTATTGAAAAAGACAGTCGAACATCTTTGTGTACCGTAAGGTGCCCATATCTTATGGCAACTATTCTCGTTAAACATATTTAATAGGCATGTTTGAATGGTAGGTTTTGATTTCGAAATGAATGGTAATTTTGGCTAAATATTTTTTAATTGAAGATTGAATACTTTCCCTAAGCCTTGCACTGGTGCACCGTGCTTAAATAAAAACCTAGCTGGACTCGTAAAGGTAGATACGGTATCAAGAAAGTTTTCGTTTATTTTTAGACACAACAGGCGTGCGCGTCCACCGTCCCACTTCTAAAGTGGGCTTTCCTCCTAAGCATGTGACTGCAATATTTGTACTTTTTGAAGTGTTTTCCGCAGCTTTTCAGCCCCATTGAGTGGGCTTCTTACTGAGCACCGGTGTGCTGCAGAAAAGCATCACCTTGGAGCTCGCATGCAGGAGTGTTGCCTCTCTGCAGTGCACTGGTGCTTGGTAAGAAGCACGCTCTGGAGGATAACCCGCCACAATCAACACATAGAAAATTATTAATATCGCTGTGAATATTGAACAATGTATTATTCAAAAGTACGTTTTGAATATCCGCGAAACACTAATATTTAATGGACGGAAAAAAAGATTGCAAAATGATGCTGCATGCCAATCATGTGCACTCACCATTGCATCTGGCTCTCAAACTTTTCAGCCCATGTTCCCCCCCCCCCCCCCCCCTTTTCCAAACAAAGAAATGTTCAAGAATATCTTACTAACTACATGTTATGGTGGCTAAATTCGTTTATCCAAATTTCACAAAGGGGAAAAAAAAAAAAAACGGGCAGGCATATAAACCATGTGCAGTGACACTCACTTGTTTTTCACCCACCCATTCATTTCCACCTTCCCCCATCCTCCCAAAGAAAAAAAAAACTGCAGAATTTTTCATTTCTTTCTCGCATAATATTCCTGAGGGTAGCGTTACGAAAACGTCACAGATTGTCGATCCCTTCGAGATTAGGCCATTTTTTCGTGCAACCTCGCCTCCTGTCCTCTGCAGCGATTCCCGGTGCCCCCTTTCAAGAAAAAACAATGTCATAATGCTCGGCCTCAACTACTTTGCGTCACATTATTGAGGCTAGCTGAGCTTCCTCAGTGCTACAACGCCGTATAAGCTACTTGCGTGCGCCCGTGGCTTCGTTTGACGTCTCCTTCGCAGGCGAGCATGTGCGAATGAGACACTAGTGCAAGATACATGCTCCTGCAGCACTGCGGGGCTACAGCACTACAGAGGCTATGCTAGCCTTGACCATGTAGCACAAAATAGTCAACACCGAGTACGGGCATTTCCTACGCGGGAATCGCCACCTTGAATCGCAGAACCTCTGTCATGGTGGAAAACATTGTTTTGCTCTAGCCACATAGCTGGGAGGTATTCACGTTTTCATTGCGACTGTCGCTTGTTTTCGTTTTGCTTCCTCTATATTTTTTAACGCAGAATGTGACACGTGACTGGCACCTAGCCGTTTTCGGTTTCACGTGCCCGAGACGGAAAACGAAAGCGCAACTGCCAGCCAACCACTGGCGCAGCGCTCGTCTCCCCACCAATTGATCACGAGTGGCGGATAAGCACCGACGCCGTGCTCCTTTCCTCGCCGATTCGATGAGCGTCGGCCAAGTGTTTCGCTCGAGTAGGTTTGAGTTACCGTTACCGTGTTTGCACGATTCTAATGATCCCCGGATTCTAACGTGCAGGCAGATTTAGATATCAGATATTGAAAAAGTGCATTGTGGCCGATTCTACCGCACAGGTAAAAGAATGAAGATTGAACACATACCTCATAGAATTGATTTTATAAAACGAACGCCAGTACAAAATTAAATGCCATGCACAAATCGCCGTTGTCAGAGTTTAACGATGATTCTTTGCTGTCCATAGAGGTGATCCCTGCTTTTCTCTAAAGCTTCTTGCGCTTGTACGAGTGCACAACTGTCGCCTTTGGGAGAGTGGTCTTCCAAACAACATTTTGCGAGCTCGCTGGGATCGCCAGGCCACGTAGTGCCGCTCCGTCGTTATCCTTTCCCTCTGGGGCAACGGCCTTCTGTTTAAATAAAAGTCCCTAGTGGAATTTTTTTTCTATGTTAATACAGTCGACACAAGTCTATAGATGTGAGAGAATGCGCATGATACGAATACCAAAATGGCAAATGTAGACAAACGATCACGATGGTGATGGGGCTAGCCACCTTCTACCGAGTATTACGCTTTTCTTCAGTTTTGGTTTTGATTGTAACACGCGTGTTGTTTTGGGCACTGATTTTGGTGAAAAAAGTGTGTTAGAATCGTGCAAACACTGTATCTTCGGGTCACGTCATGGGGTCAAACATAGAGCAACATTGGCAATGTGCCAAGCGAGGTCCAGGCTTTTAGCATTCCTGCTGAACACGCATGTTTTTTTTTGCGTGTGTGTATTTTGTTGGAGTTGCCGTGGTGCCAGGAACAGTGGTGCTGAAACTGCATGTTGCTTGACGCTGTATCGCATTCTGTGTTACCACCACCTTTGCCACGATAGGTGGGGGGGGGGAAGGGTTGCTTTTTTACTTATACCGGGTTGTAACGTCTTGCTTTTCTTTCGTCCCCCATACCGGATATGTGAACCACGTGGCCGGGGATGAAGGTAGACGAGAGAAGTCTATATGGTGCTTCTCATAGACACTATGGTTTTCGTTGCTTTCTTCCCGCTCCTCTCTTTGGCGTTGCTTGTCCACCGGTGTTCCACGGCCGTTCTGTGCCGTTCCACGACTCCAGAACCCCCTGCCTCTCCCAGCATGCCTCAGCTGCGGATGTTCTCCTGGGACTTTGGAAGCGACTTTGCGCCCGTCAAGCCAACGCAGGTGAGCGTCCCTCTTTTGAGGCGTAAAATGCTTTGGCAGAAAACTCCCTATAGACCTGGTTTGTTATTAGCTCCATCGGGGGGGGGGGGGGGGGGAGGAGGGAGGGAGGGAGGGAGGGAGGGAGGGAGAGGGGAGAGGAGGAGAGGAGGGAGGGAGGGAGGGAGGGAGGGAGGGAGGAGGAGGGAGGGAGGGGAGGGGAGGGGAGGGTGGGAAAAGGAGGAGGAGGGGGGAGGCATCTCTTGGGATATAGCGGTAGTTGCTGACAGAATGAGAACGATGAGGTGTGTCTTGTGGACACCTGGCCTCCAGCATGCACTTCAACTGCGTTTGCTCGCTTGAGCTGCACGAGACATTGAAGCGTTGTTGATGGTAGAAGGTTGGTTCGCTCTGGAGGCGGGACAACTGAAGCTCCTCCCTGCCGTCCTCGCATCGTCGGGGAATTTCGGCATTGTCAACTGACCAGATGACCCAGTTTGTTGCACGTCCCTTCTAGGGCGGACCCATCGGAGCACTCCCCATCAAGGCCCAGGAGTACAGGCTAATCAAGGACTTGCTGAACTGCATGATTGTGAGTTGGAACGTCTTTGGCACCCGGGTATTCATAGTAATATAAGTTTACTTACTTTAATGCAATCCGCTCGGCCAAGTTTCGGAGACCCCAGAATGGCTGTTTTGGTCTCCCATCGATGCCTAATATGTGGTCAGCAAATGGAAGTACAGAGATCATTTTGTTACATGTCGGCTGCTTAAAATTCTTCATTGCACGTTTCTCTTTATCAAGCGGTTTGTTTCTTGCCTTTAAAATTGTTTATTTAGGGAGTCACGTGCGCATTTAACCAAGCTCCTTTGCATGTTTTCTTTCACGGTTAATTCCGTGAACGGATTCAATAAAGCGACGAACCACCACTATGTCAAGAAAGTTTCTGTAAATTTCTACACATGTACATATTTCATCCTCGGACACGCATTTCATTGGCCGAGTGGTGATTTATTTGTCTTCGTTTCAGATTGAGAAAGCAATGCGACGGCTTTAAGCTGAGCTAGTTGGTTCGCTGCTAGTTTATGGTTCGAGCTGAATATGAAGGAAGGACGCATAGAGATGCACAGAAAAGGCAAACACACTGCTGGGCTAGCAACTGTTTGGTTGAGAGCATCTTTTTCTTTATCTATCTGTATTACGTTTCATTTATTTAAAAACCATTTCCCTCTCTTGCTTTTTTTTTTTTTTTATCGTGTAAGCAAAACATCTTTCTCTTCTTTCATACTAAGTGTGGCCCTTCGCAAGCAGAACGTCTTTGTCTTCTTTCATCCTTCCACAGCAGGTGTGGCCTTCCACTCATTCGTCTACCTTCGCGTCACTGGAAAGGGCCTCTAGCATTTCCCAAACAAACTTGTTGCAGTTTCTTGCCGGAATATTAATGTTAGAAAACTTTGCCACACACTTGCATGCACGACGGGCTAAAAGTTGTCCTGCTGCTGTGATAGCCTTCGCTGAAGGCGCGTGCTCTCTCGTCCGGTCGTTGATCCACCTTCCATTCTGTCCATTGTAACTACGACCGGATGAGAGTGGGATCCGATATAAAACCTCCTTTTCACATTGGGTGTTATTTGGTCTTGTGAGATGTGCCGCAGCTTGTTTCTTTCTTGCTGACCTTCCTGTCTACCTCACGACCCATGAAATAGGCTTTGTTTGGTGCAGAGCATAGCACCCAAATGCCCTGCCAGCCAGCGATTTCTATTTTAGTCAGCAGGAGATCCCAGCATATAGGGTACTATACAGCAAAAGGTTTTCGAGGCTTCTTGTTCCCTCATTGCCTTCAGGTTGGCGCTCAATCTTTTTGTGGATATTTTCGCATATCGACACCAGTAGTGTTTTGGGATGACCAGCATCTTGGAGCCTGGAGATTTGCATCATGGATCTCTTCCCCACCTGATGTCGACAGATCTTTTTAAAGGGGCCCTGCAAGGTCTTTTTTTACTGGTTTTTAATTTGCACCAAACCTGAGCGCACTGAACGTAGTAACTTAATGAAACTTTTCTTTTCTCGAATTTCGCTTTAGTTTTAAAGTTGTAGGCAGATTAAAATTACAAAAAACAAGCAAAAAATAACCTCCTTCATGACGTCCCTGGTTGCTTGTATGGCCGTGAACTAGAGGAGGGATAGTGAGCTAGGCGAGCGCTGACAACTGCCGCACCCTGTGTCGACGGCGCGAGAGGGCGCCACTAAAGCATAATTTGGATAGGCTGTATGCAGTGGGCAGCCAGAGCGGCTCTGATTGCATTTACTGCGCGATTAAACACTAATTCGGCATGACACTTCATTGCCCACAAACGACATCAAACACGAAGTAAAGATCAGTTAAGAATGGGAGCCACTTCGCGCTGCCATACCGCGAAACGGTCAAACCGCAAAACAAAGCTGCACGCCGAAGGCCTTCGGAACGCTCGGAGCCGGTCGGATCACCCAGTCCGTACGCCCGCAGCGGCGCCGCATACATCCGGTACCTTTCCGCGTCTGCGCCTGATCCCACTACTCATTTCTACTATGCACCGCCTCTTCCACCGCTTGTTGGCGCGTATGTCGACGGGTCATTTCTTGTTTCCATACTTTATAAACTGCATTTCTTTGTTTTCTTATCTAAAATACTGAACAAAAACTACTTTTATAGATAATTGAAACGGTTCGCGCCACTTATATTTTGTATTTCGACTAAAACAAAGCTTTTAGCGGCTCTGACTAGTAGTAAGCCCAGGACCAAAGACGTCACATATTGCGCGATTTCGGTACCACAGGTCGCCACCGTCGGTGGAGGAGGTTTCCGCGTCGTCAGGTTAAAATATGATGCACTGATATTTAGTTACTCTCTCCGTGCTCGCTGGCTTTTCCGAACCCCAAGAGACGTGGAAACTGCAAAAAAGGTAGACGCTTAAATATGATTGCAGGGCCCCTTTAAGCTCATAAGTGAGTGCTGTGTTGGCAACTGCTAACTTTACATTCTGAGCGCAGCTCTAAGGGGCCTGTTTCGGGGTTAAGCAACGTCGCCGTCAGCGTAACCGCGCTGTTTTTAGCGAGAAAATTGACGTCCCGTGATCTCAAGACCAATATTCCGTTTCTCTTCCAGATTTAGCGGGAAAATTGATGTCCCGTGATTTCAGCACCAATTCCATTCCCTGATATTGGTGTTAAGGTCACATGGTGTCAATTTTCCTGCTAAATCTAGCAGAGAAGCTTAATTTGTTCGTAGGTGACATGGCACCAAGTCATGTGGTGTCATTTTCCCCGCTGAATTTAGCGGGGAAACTGAAATGGAGGAGGAGGAATAGGAGGGGAGGAGGAAACGGTACTTAGGAGGAGGAGGGGCATACCCTCCCCTCCGTACCTTCCCCTCTCCTCCTCAAGAGCTGCACTCTAATTTCGCATTACAGAGATTTGTAAATGTCTTTCATTTTTTTTTATATCAATTAAATTACATGTAATATAGATAGATAAAGAAAGCAATAATCTTAATAAGCAGTTTCTAGTCCAGCAGTGTGTGCCTTTTTTGTGTTTCTCTCCGTGTGATCTTCCTTTATGTTCAGCACCATAAACAAACATGAAAGCAAAATACTTTTATTTGAGATGATGGCCGTGCACATTAAAAAAACACTAGACTTCCAATATTCACATTTTTTTTTTTAAAGCACCTAGATAGGACTTTTGGGAGAGAAGGGGGGGGGGGGGGGGAGGTGGGGGGCACGGCTGTCCTATTCAACGCTTAAAAGAATGTTTTTGGGAGATCAGTGTCTCTTTAATGAACATCACAATGCCACAATCGAGTAAAACCCTTTTTTTTTTTTTTCATTTCCAGGGTTGCGACGGCGTTTCTATCCACTCGCGGCTGGACCCTCATGGCAAAAGGGTGTTCTCCATCGACGACACAGCCGGTGCGCATGCATATCTTTCGACAGGCGGCGGAGCAAAAATCATCGCTAGACCGCAGTGCGAGTCGCCGGTGTCTCTGTTGTGTTTGTGACGGCGTCCTTTTGAAAAGCCGCCCGCAGCGTGGCCACCTCGTTACTTACGCTGCCCGTAGCGTTCGAACGTCGGGGCTGCTGACAGGACGAGAACGATGGGACTATGTCCTGCCTCCAGGTTGCGCCCGTTGCCTTCTGCCACACTTCGGTTGTGCGCGAACGCTCAAAGCTTGAAGACATCGTAGTGTTATCAAAGGTGAAATGCTTTCGCTGAAGGCAGGAGAACCGGAGGACCTCCTCTCAGCAACCTGAGTGGCATCTGCGAGTCAGGTTTAGCATCGATCCCATTGCGGTTGTAATTGCAACTTTTCAGTCAAACTTTGGCAAAAAGTGGATGATTGCAGAGGTTGGAGCACGACCCCGAGGCACCAAGAATCTAGATTATTCTCGGGCGTCCGTGTTTCCGGCATTCGCCGTTTATTTGTTCTATGATTTAAAGGGAAGATGGGGCACTTCTACGTTTGAGAAAAAACGCTTGAATTGCATTCATTCGGCCATTAGAATAACAGATATCACAATTATATTTCAATGCGACGTGCCGGGGAGCCATACGAGCAATTTCAAAATAGGGCTGAAGCCCCGCCTCCCTAGCCTTGGGCAGCCAAAAGATCCGTCGATGACGTCACGTGCAGCGGCTGTCTTTCGCGTTTTTCTTGCGTTTAACAATACTTGCGCAGCAAATGGCTTGGGTATTCGGGTTCACGGGGTAAAAATACACTAGAATTCAGTTCTAACTCATTTTTTTTTAAGAAGCTCCGTAGCTTCCCTTTAATGTGAAACATTCTTCGGCTACGCAATTGGCATTTCGTGAAGTCCAAGAGTGAAGCCTGGATAAAAGCATTGCCGCGAGGCTCGACACTGATTGGTTAACGGGTGGGAAAGGAGGAGAGAGCCCTGAGGCTGATTGGTTAACTGGGAAGTCAAATGACTGGGAAGAGAGGTAGGCAAGGATGGCGAGGTGGAAGGGGAGTGGGTTGGAAGGTTCTGGAAGATCAACGGAATTATCGTTTCAAGCGTACACTTGCCATGCATTCACTTATCCGACGAACAGTGCCGTGAACGTAGGTGCCTGGCTGAATGGGCTAGATGTGCTGTATACGACGACATAAACGCTTGTTATGCTAAAACATTTCGCGTGTGCAACACAATTGCCTGGCACGGTGGTCTTCAACCATTGATGTTTGGCGGACCCCTTGTGGATCGGCGGAGATGGTGGAGGACCCCGTTCCTGATGAGGGGAAGGGAAATGTATAGGTTAATTATGATAATGATTTAATAAGTGTATATGGGCGGGTGTGAAGTAGACTTCTCTCATGGCATACAGACGAGAAAACTCGCCCGAAAATTGGAATGTTTCTTCTTAATCTGACAAAAAGAACTCTTATTGCTGGGCTTGCCTGATGAAGCGGGGCTTTGCGGACCCCTAGACTGCCTTCGCTGAACCCATAGAATCCACAGACCCCCATTTGAGAACCGCTGGCCTAGCAATTTGCCATACTTTTTTTTTCTCGGTAATAGACATTTTGGGTAACCAGTCTTTATGTGCATTTTTAATCCAGTTGATGTGTTTGTGTGTCTTTAGTCTCCAAATTCAGTTAGTTTTCTTTTTTCTCTTTTTTTCTCTCTCATTTTTTGGTTTTGACGCGTCTGTTTAAGATGTTCTTGAGCTTTCTTTCGCCTTGCGCCCTCCAGACGTCTCTCTCAAGGAAATCGCCGGACGAATCCTGCCCCTCTGTGCCAGCTATTCCACGGTCATGCAATTCGCCGAAGGTCAGTGCTGCGTCTTTTTCCCCCGGTGTCATGGGTCTGTTCTTCTTGCGTCCCGACATTTCGTTGCAGTATCGGGCACGTGGTCTTACTGATTATAACTGCATTTTGGAGTTTTCGGGGGTCACGCTTCTTTAGCCCTTTTTGCGAAAGACTGCCTCTAACCATCAAACTCCCTTACGGACAAATATCTCTAATGTAGGATGAAGTGAAATGGTGGCTAGTTTTTGTATTTTAAGTTGCGATCGTATGCCTGTCGCAGAATTCATGCTTGTTACTTATTTTTAAATTATTACAGACAAGGGCCACGACTTGCCTTAGCTGGAAAGGGGTGTCTGTTTGCGACTAGACAAGTCTCTAGACTCATATTTGAACTATACTTGAATTTTACGTATGAAATATTAATAGTAATTGTCTCATAAATAGGGTATGTATTTTCCGGTGTATATTAATGAAAAAGAAAGGCAAATGTTCTTCGGTATTTATTTTTGAAACACCGGTGTATTTCAATTGGAGCGTTCATGACAAGGCTAAAATCGGCAATTATCAATAAAAAAAAATGTGATTGGACACCCCCACTTCAGAGTTCCGATTTTATTTTTTATATTTTATACACTCTTCTTCCCGTGAGAGGATCTGTTTTTACACTCCGTTTTTATAGTGGACGCAAGCATACTTCGAGAGGCTTGCATCCGTCGTGGTGGCACGCATCCTGCAGGTCACAACTCACAATTTCGAAAATGCCCGCTTCACATATGCGCCAAACAGGGGAAATTCCTTAACATTGGGACATTGGCGGCCAGTCGGGTAAACTAAGTTAGCGAAACACACGGGATCAACGACGCTAGTCACAACATACTGGCGGTAAGAAAAAAAGCAACATACTGCAGATTGTTTCAAACGACCAGCTGACAGCTACTTTCATAAGGCATCAATTCCTCTAACAGCTTCATTTCTACGCACGGATTAACAATCTGCACTTGGACCCGAGACAGGGTAAGCTTCCGGGGCCTGCAGCCCCGGAAGCTTTTGAAAACTAAACGGATAACAATGAACGCATCTCCGTTCCCCAGGCGAAGAGGCGTGTTCTCCAAGTTCAGTGGCTGTGGACCACGCTGATTATGGCAGAGTTCTTTCAAGATCCACAGCAACCTCTGAATAGACACTGGAAGGACATAGGATCCAACGAATGACACGTTTGACGAACCTTCGCGGGGAGGAGTTTCAAAGAAAGTGGCAGTCACTAGGGCGGAAACGTTCAACGACTGGTGTTTTTCGGTTCTAACCGATTTTGTATTTTTGTCACTAGCAGATGTTTATTGATGTTTTTCGGCTAAAACTAGAAGGTACGCAGCCTGCTCGTGAACTACGGTCCTCCGGCCTGTAGGTAGTGTGGTTATCGTATCCGGTACGCAAAATGCAGTGACTCGGACGTCGAAAATTGTTATTACCTCGTAAACAAGCGTTGACATAGTTTCGAGGTCAAGTAATTGAATTATCTAATCGAAAATCTCCTGGATTGGATCATAATCAATCTATCTTTTTGGCCAATGTGCACAAGATTTGCAACATTGCACTAAAACAATACTGTCGCTCATTGTTATCGTACCTAGCTTGGTAGCTCTTCACTCCTCAACAATCCTAGTATCTTTTAAACATTCCTTCCTTTTTTTTTTCTTTTTTCTTAATTGTGGAATGTTTTTTTTATGGAACTCCCAACCCCAGCAATTTGTTCTTCCTTCGTCTATCCGTGCATTTCCCTTCTAAATTTACCAGGGACGTGACACCACGACTTCCCACTGACGTCAGGTTACGTCATGTCAATTTCCGCGCTAAATTTAGCAGGGAAGTTAGAAAACAATATGTCCTTGTTCACTCCCCAAAACAATGTCTTCTAAACAAATTGAAACGACTGCCCCTTGAAGGTGCAGTGGAACAGTTGATTTTCTTTTAGTGAATACTAGGGCTAAGTGGTTGATTGATTAACCTTCCAATTAAGTAATGCTTTAATCGCGATCAGTTTTTAATCAATTAATTTTTGAGCATACAACATGTTCAAAAATTTCGGGAAGAAAGTAAGGAATGTTTGCTTTATAACTTGTCTATCTGTAGCTCCGTTGTATTCCGCGGCAGAATGTTTTATGATTTTTTGTGATCATAAGCTGGAGGTATTATCAGGCTTAAAGATATTTTACAAAATATTTTGTTCTTATAATGGTTTCCCTTGTGTTTTTTTTTTATTCTAGCGGGTCAATTTTTTAAATTAGACCGCACGTTCTACTATAGATGGCATAGTAAGGAATAGGAAAAAAAATATATGTATTTTGACACTTTTTTTTAGCTATTATGCTCGGGAGGTCAATCAAACCGATAAATTGATTACTTAATGGATTAAAAGGGAGCGTTTAATCTGGGTAAACTTTTCAATCGACACCCAATCATAGTAAATATTATTTGGAATTAATTTTTGACGTTCATAACCTAAGAAGCATGCGTCTGTTTTTCTTTCCACGCAATGACAGTGGCATAAAAGAGAGAAAACTAAGCAATGTTTACCCCCTTAACTCGCAGCCAGAACAAACAGGCACATGATCTGAGGCTAGTTGTATGCCGCCGATTTTTATCAGAACCACACGCGCTCTGGGGTCGGTAGAGTGCAGGGCACTTGCCGAGCTCTGCACGTTGATAGAGTCCGGGAATTCTCGTCATTGGAAGGATTGAGCTCGAGCCACTACTTGAATGCTCATCGAGAGATTTATTTATTTATTTATTTATTTATTTAATTTTCCCTCAAGGCCAGAGGCATTACAGAGGGGGAGAGCAAAGAAAAATACAGAAAAGGAAAACAAGCCTTGAAATAAGTTAAACACACTCAACAAATAAAAGATTAGTAATTGCAGTTTTGAAAAGGTCACGTCCGTGATGGTGGCAATTGTCCCGGGAAGGTGGTTCCATTCTCGTGATGTACGAAGGACGAATGATGAATGAAATGTTGTTGTGTTAGAAATTGGAATACCAATCTTGTGATTCTGATCGTTGCAAGAAGAAACGTAAAAAGGACGGGATGTTAATTTGTCGCGCAGGATAGAATTGTGAAAATAAATCTTATGGAATAAAGAAAGGCGAGAAATGCTACGGCGCAAGGCTAAAGGCGGCAATGATAGAGTAGCTTTCATGGCAGTCACGCTAGCAGTGTTGTGGTAGTTAGAAAGGATGAAATGAGCTGATCTGTTTTGAATTGCTTCCAATGCAGTAATGAGGGTGACTTCTCCAGGATCCCAGACAGAGGCTGCATATTCCAACCTTGGACGAATTAATGTTTTATAAAGAGTCAACTTTAGTGCAACTGGAGCTAATGAAAAATTTCGTTTAACATAACCTAACATGCAGTTAGCGTTAGAGGAAACATACTGAATATGATTCCTCCATGAAAGGTCAGATGTTATGTGCACGCTGAGGTATTTATAAGACGACACCGGCTCCATATAAACCTGATCAAGAAAATAGTTAGGATTGTCAGAAGATTGTCGAGATACACGCATAGACTTACATTTGTTAGTGTTAAGGCTCATTGACCATAAATCACACCACTCGATGATAGTGTTAATGTCGGACTGTAGAACACTGGTGTCATGATTATCTATTATTTCACGATAAAGGCCACAGTCGTCAGCAAACAGGCACATAGACGAGGAGACGTTAACCGGGAGAGCGTTAATATAAATTAAAAATAGCAATGGCCCTAGAACAGATCCCTGAGGAACCCGGGGCCTAAATCAAGTGCTCATGTAGTACTGGTGCCCAGTGTGCAAGCAGCCTTTGACTATCATCGCTTCGGGTTCTACCCTTGACCATGTCAGTAATGTGGCACCCGTGTCTTTATCCAGGCTGCGCCATTTACGCCTTTTTGCGCCAGGCTCATTTGTCTGTGCCATCCTGCGCCATTTTGTGGAAACTGCGCCACAGCCAATACCTTGTGCCATTGTGCTCCAAATCGCACAACGTGCGGTGAAAAAATTTTATTTAATTATATTTTGTCTTGGTTTCGGTTTTTACCTACTCAATTGGCAACAATAAGCGCCTTTAGTTTGGTCGGCCTTGCAATTTTTTGTTCCGTTCATTTTCCCTGTGTATCCCGAGTCGGTAGCGCGCGAAAAAACTCGGGGGTTGGATTCCAAGCACTACATCACCTGCGACTGGATTCTTAATCAACCATAAGCGGTTAAGCAAGTCGGCCGAGGTGAGGTCGAGTCATTAAGGCGCCAGATTGCCTGAGGCTCTGCGGCCCGGGTTCCGGACGTCAGCCAGTTGAAAACACATTAGCAAAAGATTCCTTTTAGTGCTTCATAGTTAGAAGTTGGAACCGCATTCCTGCAAGATAAATCGTGAATTGATTGAACCGAAACGCAGTCCGATCCGAAGCCTCGCCGGTCAGCAGCTCTTACGCGAGCGGTAGATCTGCTCGGCTTACTTTAATCTTGCTCTGGCTCATCGCTTCGAATACGATAGCTCCGTTAATCATAGTCTGCTGCTTCGACATTGAGATATACAATAGGATAAACTCAAAATTTGTTGCCCTGTTCCTCCGCGCAACTGCATGTCCGTTGCATACGCACGTCACGTGGTTCACACATATAATTACCATGTCGAGCACGCATGGGCTGTGCTATTAGCTGTGCTGGTTTGCATTTTGAGCAGCTGAAAGCCACTCGGAAAATATCAAGGACACTATCCTCAGAAACATATGGTACTTGCTTTTTGGTTCTCACTAAGGCCAAGTTTTCGCATCTGTTACACTGTTATCGTATCTACCTAGGATCCAAACCACTCATATTCATCTGTGCTGCTAAGCAGAATTGAAATTGCTCCCTTGCTCATCTAAGACACAAGCAGAAGTGCAATGAAAACTGATTTGAGCTGCTCCTAGCCTGCTCCAGAATGTAGTTTCAGCTGCTCCCAACCTGCTCCGAAACAGCTGTTTCAGCTGCTCCCGTGGCTGCTTCCAAGTACATTTCATGAGTTTCACCCCTGTTATCAAGTTTTGATAAGGACTGAAAGGAAAATATTTATTTACTTTATTTATTTACATTACCCTCAGGGTCATGAAGCATTAAAGAGGGGAGTGGGTGTTAAATCACAATGTTTAAAATGACTTCACAAAATCGAGGGGGGTCCTCAATGGTAGCAGTGTCTTCGGCAAGGTCATTCCAGTCTACAATTGTGTCGGGGAGAAGAGTGTTGTGATGCGCTGTGGAAAAACATTGCAGCCCGTTAGTTTGTTGCAATGGTCTAGTCTTGCCGAAGAGTAGGTTGGAAGAGAGAGAAGACACTGATTTAGCGCTGGCGAAAAAGACTGCAGAAGGCAAAGATGAAAAAAAAATTCCGGGTTGAAAGTCATCATTATTGTCGTGTGGGAGAGAAAGATTTGACTTCGTTAGGGAAACACTGATGAAACGTAAATAACCAGGTTGAATTAATTGGACAGCTCGGCTTTGCACTGTCTCAGAACTGTCAATTAACATAGAAAGGTGAGGGTGTCTGATTGAAGATGCATATTGTAATTTAAATTGATCCAAAGAAATGTAAAAGAGCCGTTTCAAGTTAGAAGGGGCGGATGTGAAGTTACGGAGGAGGTAACCCAATCTTCGGTTAGCAGAACACTACTGAATGAACACGACTATCCCAAGAAAGGTTTGTGGGTAGGAGAACACTGAGATATTTATATGTGTTTGTTCTGAAGGAACACTATTAAGAGGAGCGTAGGCTCGGAAGTAGGAACGAGAGAAGTAGATGTATTTATATTTATTAACCTTGAGGGACATTTGCCAAATATTACACCAGCTAATAATAAAGTCAAGGTCATTTTGTAGCACTATAGTATTGTGGCAAGACGTCATTTTACGATAAACGACACAGTCATCCGCAAGCAAGCAGGTTCATCCTTGAAATCGTGGCGACAAAGAAGTTTCTTGGTAAGCAGCATCATGTGCGAGCATCCTTGGATCGCACTAGTGCCAGTAAGCTTGAGCGAAGCAAGATACATTTTAACCCAATGTCGTTCGGACGTCCCCTTTGAATACTTCGTCCTAAGCATCGTGGGACCCTGGAAATGGAGGTTGCCGTCCATTCTCTTCTCGCCTCAGACAAGTGGGAGCCCGGGCAGGGCCTGGTGAACCAGGCGCTGGCGGCAGCCCTGCGCCACCTGCTGCACGACCAGTTCACCTTGGTGGCCCAACTGGAGCACCAGCTGGTGAACAGGGGTGGCCTCACCCTCCAGAAGATGTGGTTCTACGTGCAGCCGGCCCTGGCGTACATGGAGACGCTCGCCTCCGTCGTCCGCACCCTCCGCAAGGTCGGTCACGCCCGACTCTGGTGACGACCCGACCCGTCGCTCTGACTTTGTCACTATTCTGGTGGCCCCCAACTTTAACGCATTACTTCTTTATAAAAATGAAAGTTGTATCTGTAGTTTTTTTTTTGTTTTTTTTTTTTCGGAAGAAATGATTTCACTTTTAACACAACTTATGAGTTCTTTTAATGGTTAAGATGTCATTGGATGAGTGCAATCCAGTCATTCCTTGCCGTCTCCAGACGATGTGTTTCAACATCTCAAGTTCTCGCACCCGCCTTGCGCCAACTTGTGGGCATATGGTCTCTCATGAATCGCGAACCGTCTATAGATGTGTGTGAATATGATGCTAAAAACCTAGTATTCCCAGGGCGTGTTATGGAAATGTAACTAAAGAATAACCGAAACGAGTTACTCTCTTTTGTTTAGTGACTTTAAGGGTAGCTTCGTTACTTTTTTTTTTTCTGGAAGTAACTAATAAATTATTTTTTATAAGTAACTTGCTCGAGACTGGTTATGTTTACGGTGCCTTGCAGGCATCTCTGACTGGTTTGTGCGTTGGAGCATTTACCGTTTAGCAATGTTTTATGACGTTGCTAAGGTGTCTCGTTACCTGCAACAATCCTGGCGGTGGCACAGTGGCAGGGCTGGATGCAGCAGACACCTGTTCTGCAGGTCGCTCTGCAGGGGATGGTTCGTGTAAGTTACCCCAGCTGGGAGTTGTGACGACGGCGACGGTCGTGTTTGCTCCGCCTTTTCGTCGAGACTTCGTTCCTTCGCTTGGCCTCAGTCGTAGCGTATCGGGCCTACCTCACTTCTCTGTCCCCAGCTAAATGCCGTTCTCTCCTTTCTGCCGCGTTTGGTGGTGTCGGTTAGCGAAAGAAACACATTTATTAAACATTGCCTCGGAACCCTCCACCACTGTGCTGTGGTCGAGCGTTGGACTCGCAGCCTCAGGGGCTCTGGGTTCAATTCTCCCTGGGGAGTGTTTGGAATTTTTTTTTTTTTTATGCATGATTTATTGACTTGCTGCTCTCCTCCTCACGTGCATTCCCTTCGTGTTGCAGAACAAAAGGGGATGTGGGCTGCTGAAAGAAACACTCACGTTTAACATCATGTTTGTCGGTTACACGCTGAGAGAAGGGTACGTTTCGTGTTTCAGGAGAACTGCTATGGCGGCAAGATACTCGGAGCTTTACACAAAAGGACCGTATCGCTTACGGGGTGAGTCCTCCCGTTTTGTGGAAATCTGCAACTGTGTAAATGGCTCGTGATGCAAGTCACGAGCCATGTAGTGTCGGGTCAGAAAATCTCCTCTGTGCCCACTTGCCACGTGCCTAAGCACACTTGAGTGCATCGACACTCAGGCCCTTCCTACTTGTTCATTCGAGTGAAATGTACTTCTAAAGTTCTTGTTTAGCACAATCCAGAAATAACTCTTCAGTTTATTTTCTGTAGCTCAATTAGGTGTGGAAGTGGGTTCCTAAAGAGAGATTATTGTTTTGTTTTTTACCCATCTCCGGTAGTTTTTGGCACAGGTGTGCTCTTTGTTATGCTAATGTCATAACTACAGTCAGATTTAAGATATCTCTTTTTTGTCAAAAGTTGTAAATAAAATGTTAAAAATCGATTAGCCAATTTTTCTATTGTTTTTTAAACACTCTTTTATTAAAATGTTAATTAAAAATGGTAGAAATTTTGTTTCTAAAGAAATGTCATGCAAGCTGAAGCTGTTTTTTATTTCTTCAATGCTATATACTCCAGTACAGACCAAAGTAATCTGAAGTGTGTTCATATGGCACTTTGCATATTCTGCATTTGAATGTACAGAAACGTTTTGTTTTCGTTTCATTCTTGTCAGGGATGCCAAATCCAGGGACATCTGCCTTCATCTAATAAAAGCTGCAAGTATATTCCTTTTCCCCTTTTGTTCTTGTACAGCCCAAAGAAGAGGGTGTTACATTAATTAGTTTTGTCATAGCAATGTTTTTTTAAGCAAAGCACTACCGTCAAACCCAAATATATTGAATTCAGAGGGGTCACGAATTCGTTGGATACATCAATAATTTGAGATGCCTAGTTACACAATGCAAGCTCCAATCAAACCTTCCACGTACCTCTGGTCATTGCCCAATGTCGTGACAAATGGGAGTTTATTGATCACACATGCAAGAACTGCACAATGATACATTGTGCAATGCTGAAAATTATTTTGGAGAAGATGGGTTCCTGTGGCCCGTAAACACATCACGACAACGACATTTTATCTCGCTGAAAGGGAAGTGGTTGCAATCTTTATCTCTTAAAGTCTTAGGATGCATAGAATGCAGTGCTTAAGAAGCAATCGTATGAATTTGTTCAGAAGACGTTAAACATCATGTGACCTATTCGTGGTGTCACATGGTAACATGACTAGGGTTGGGCGAATATTCGGTTATTACAATTAGCCAATCGAATTCTGTTCTATTTGGCATTTGCTTTGAATCGAATATAAGTATTCGACAATATATAAATATTCGACAATATAGGATTATTCAACCTTTCTAAATACAGTCAAACCCGACTATGTCGAACCTGTTTACATCAAATTATTTCTTATATCGAGAAATCTTTGTGCACAGTAATGTTACTGTGATAATATATAGCAAACACTATGGTTGCATCGAACAAAAATAGCAGCCGCTACCAATATATCGAACTGCCAAGAGCGCCGTTTTGCTCTGCAAGCTGGCTTTCCCTCAATGCGAGCGGCCGCATTGGGGGAAAGCCAGCTTGCAGAGCACGCTGGCTTTCTTTTTTTCCCAGGCGGCCGCATCGGCCGCAGGAAAGAAAAGAAAATATAGCTTCAGCGGAGAGATGGTCCTCCGGGCTCTCTCTCCCCACTCCGTCCGCAAAAGAGAATAATATTTTTTCTTCCAAGCAATTGGCGCTGCCGCCCAGAAAAAAAAAAAAAAAAAAAGAAGCCATCTTGCTTTGCTACTTGAATTTCCCCCAACGCAGCCACCTGTTGTAGAGGAAAGCCAACTGGCAGAGCAAAACGGTGCTCTGCAGGAGAAGGTGCTCCCGCTCGGACGTGCTCCGTGCTCTCGGCATAGTTCGGCGATAATGCGCGAACACAGAAGGCAGCGAGCGGCCTCAGCGTTTGGGAGTCCGTCGATAGCGTAGAAAAATATTGTTATCGCCGATGCAACGAAGAAAAAGCAGCAGAAGATGCGGGACTACTTCTTTGTGTAATATTTTAGCAGAATGTGGATTTTTGAGAATCAAATTCATTAAAACTTTTATATTGAATTACCCACTATATTGAACTGGTAGACTCTTTTTGCGAGTTCGATATAAACGGGTTTGACTTAGCCTGGCTTGGATTTCTGGCCAGGTGGCGCAAGCTTCCGACCATTTTGACCATTTCGGGCTCCCAAACTTAATACACTTGAAATTGACAATTAGAGTACTTTTAATAACAAATAAGGGCAAGTATAAAACTATAGTTTAAAAATATTGTGGTATTTGTTGCTTGCACTATTGGAACTATTCGATTCGAAATTACTCGGCCAAAATCATTATTCGCTTCAAATTCAATTCGGACCCAAAATCCTCTATTCGCCCATGCCTAAACATGACATCATGTGACCTCACGGTGGTATTGTTTAATGCTTTTACATTTGAGGTTTTTTTGCATCTCTTGTTTTCAACTGAGACCACTGTTTACTGTCTGCAGGTGTTGGGCTGTTTATTGTGGTACTTGCGGGGGTGTGGGATAGGCACTTTACGTATTGGTGACTTCTTATGGGGGGGGGGGATTGCCTGAACAGAAAATCTGAAATGTGTTGTGAAAATATATTTTGCAGGCTTCTGTGTCCTACTTTGACATGCTAGAGCGTTGGGTGTACAGGGGGCACATCAGAGACCCTAACCATGAGGTGAGAACTTTTATACTTTATCCCCTTTTGTGTGTCCAGGCAGTTTGTTGAATTCACTTGTTAAATCTCGGTTTCACGGGCTGCATCAGTTAGCTCCAGCGTGCTTGTTTCAGTGTTGAATCCTAGAGGAAACTGCTCTATGTTTTGGATAAGGAAAGAGGGACATTTAAGACAGACAGACACATGGAAGGTTGGTTTCTGATATTGTTTGTAATTGCCAAATCTTGGGGAGGATTCTGTTAGACTAACCGATCAAGTTAGAAAATCTGCCGCGTTGATTGATTTGACTTAGCTTTAAGTGTTACGTTAGTGACTTCTGCAATGCGAAGTTCTTGTCAAGCAAAAAAAAAAGAAGGGTTTTATAAGTCGCTTACAAAACTGATGAATCCAATGTGTCCTTTGAAATTTTTCTGTTAGTGAAAATAAGGCACTCTCGGTCAGTCTTACAGAAACTAGTTTTTTTTGTTGGGCTCATTGACAAAGCTGTCTTGCCAATGAATCTAAATACAGTCGAATCTCGTTATAACGAGCTAGCATCGGAAGCAGAAATTTGTTTGCTATGTGCGTTACTCGTTATAAAAGTACACACAAAAATTGACGCGAACGTTCCCGCAATCGAGCTGCTGCAGAAACGTGCGCAGCACTAAGATATAAAAACGCGCTATCGCGGACCACGAGATCCTTACCTGTCACTAAGCAGCATTAAACAAAAATATATCGGAGCTTGAGGATATCAATTCGCAACACGAGAAACGACGTTAGCTGGATCTATTATTCCATTTATTTGAAAAAGTAATTTTGGGATGGTGCCTCTTCACCTACCGCTGCTCGCGCTGAAATCATCATGCCCTGACAGACATGCCAGACTGATTGCTTTCATTTGAAGAAGCTGACCAGACACTGGCGAATTTCGCGCCGTTACGTCCTTAAACCTTGAAAACAAAGCCTCTTCCACGTCTGGGTCGAGGCAAGGCCTAGGACTCTTTCTATCAGTCTTGACAGTGTTGTTTGCATAGCAGGCTTCGATCTTCTTCCTTGCACTCAGGATGGTAGATATCGTGCTTGGTGTGAACTCGAAGTCCGTAGTGATGTCTTTTTTCTTCCGACCGCTGTCCACCGCCCTCGAAACCTTCATTCTTGTCTCCAGAAAGACAGTTTTTTGCTTCATTGCCATTTGCAGCTCCGCTACGAGTGGTGCGGTTGGCGGTTGACTTTAGTCTGCACTGGTTCTTGATGCCTTGCATAGAGGCCAGCAGCAGCGCAATGGTTCATAGGTGGCGCTACCTCCCGAAACGCGCATTTTTGCACATCGGGCGATCTAAACTTTCAATATTTTTCGTTTTGAAATTATTTTTTGTATTTTTTCTACTTTTTAATAACCTTCGTAATATTTTGTGACGCAAGAAAAGCAGGAATTGCTTCGCTATAACCGATAGCACGTCAGATTTCATGGTTTCGGTTTCGTTATATAACTAGAACTCCCATCCAAACGAAGCATGACCAACCAAACTTCGTGATAAGTTCACTATATCCGATAATTCGCTATAACAGTGTTTGTTATAAAGAGGTTCAACTGTAGTACGGGGTCGTAATCTGGAGCTTCACTTTACAAACGCCCGAAAACCTTTTTGTTGTTGTTTTTTGCAGTTTATGGTTTGTGACAAGAGCCAAGTGAAAAAAGAAGACATGTCTGTCGACCAGAGCGACAAGTATCCTTTTTGTCTCGTGTTGCTGAGATGACAATGACCTTGTTCTAAAAAGATGCGCAGACGACAGATTTTCACTGCCTTTTAGTCACTATGAAAGGGTGGTGTATCTACAAATATACCATATTTTCCGTTTCATGAGTCACGGTTTTCTTTTTTTCAAGTTTTTGTCAGTGCATTTTATACAGTTGAGACTCATACCTTTTGTTTTCTTTCTTTATAACGTAAAATATTGCAGGAGTGCCCGCTTCATTCAAGTGCTCACTATTAACAGTTTCCAAACTTGGGAATTCTGCAAACTATGTGCTAAGCGCCCTATCTGACCGAACAACGAGCCATGTCTAGACTAACTCAGTTTTCAATGAAAATGAGGTGGGGGCTTGCCCGATATTTTACGTTAAGTATCGACATTAACTGTGCGAGATGTGGGCCGTATCGAAATTTACGAGAAACGGCGGAGCACCTGCCGATGGCCTGCTCTTTCAGCGTTCTGAAGACTGTTCGTAGCATGGGGGGCACAAGTCCACGGCTGCCGTGACACCGCCGATTGCACAAAGAAGTGCAACTTGTACTATATACACCAACTCATGTTTACAAACAAACCGGAGCGCCCGGAGCGCCCCTAGCGGACGCCACCGGCGCCGCGCATGCGCGATGGGGGTGTGGGCAAAAAGTTTGCTGTCGCCCATAAACAAACCATTGAAATGCGATGTTGTCGGCGCCGGTGTGAGTCCCCGCGCTCTTTTTTGCGTTGGAATTGTTGATTCTACGTCCTCCTAACGATGTCTGACTACTTGAGTAGCGTCAGCAAAATTAACGAGGCTCGTTACACCGCAAAACTTCGCGTGATTAATCTGATATGCGGCGATTCATTCCGCATGGACACCGCAGAACGTACGCTAAAGCCTGATTCACATGATGAGATTTCGCTCGCAATTTTCAGTAGCGACGTCGCTCGGACTGCAAAAGCGTGAACCATAGCTGAGATGGTTGACGTCGATACTGAAAATCGCATGCAGAATCTAACCAAGTGAATCAGGCATAACAAGTCGGTGATGGCCAGTGGTAACAAGGATCAACATCTTCTTGTATCTACTGTCGAGCCTGCTTACCAACCTTCAAACTTAAGTCTTTTGAGGCCTGCACTTAATTGTTATCGCAAGTACCAGGCCCACGTTTGGTCTACGGGTTGGTGTCCTCTAAAAGAGCAGACGACAAGCAGAAACGTTTGAAAGAGCAGACGACAGTTCGAACGATCAGGCGACCTTTTGAACTTGAAGACGCACTGAACGTAGTTCGCAGGTGGTCCGTACAACTTGACGGTTTTCCGGCGTTCATTTTCGAACAAAACAAAAAAATTTGATGGCCAGTAGTATCCGTGAATTTAACCCAAAATGCTTCCCGCCCAAGCAATCGTGGTCCGACGGCGTCTGGTTTTCCCTTTTCACAGGACATATCCGCGTTCTCGGACGAACCGAGCGCATGAAAACTGATTTTCAAACCTTTCTCGACACTCTTAGTACAGCCCCAGTCGCAGCATTCTGACGAGAAGGCAAATTTTTGTCCGGTTATTTTCAAAACAACGCAGGAATACACGTCTCAAATGGGCACTTCCGCCCACAGCCCCGGACCGGAAGTGCGTCCGACGCGCCACCGCCGCGTTGTGACGTAACAGAGATGAGTTCGTGTATATAACCTTTTTTGTGAAAACCGCCGTTTGGAGAAGGACGTCACTTATACATATGATTCTGTGTTTTTGGAGTTTATTTCTCGTGAAATTGGGAGGGTGTTTTTCGGAGTTTATTTTTCGCTGGGTATCCGGGGTTTATCGGAGTTTATTTTTCGCAGGGTATTCGGGGTTTATCGGAGTTTATTTTTCGCTGGGTATCCGGGGTTTATCGGGGTTTATTTTTTGCTGGGTATTCGGGGTTTATCGGAGTTTATTTTTCGCAGGGTAATCGGGGTTTATTGGAGTTCATTTTTCGCTGGGTGTTTGGGGTTTATCGGAGTTTATTTTTCGCTGGGTATTTGGGGTTTATCGGAGTTTATTTTTTGCAGGGTATTCGGGGTTTATTGGAGTTCATTTTTCGCTGGGTGTTTGGGGTTTATCGGAGTTTATTTTTCGCTGGGTACTTGGGGTTTATCGGAGTTTATTTTTCGCAGGGTATTCGGGGTTTATTGGAGTTCATTTTTCGCTGGGTGTTTGGGGTTTATCGGAGTTTATTTTTCGCTGGGTATTTGGGGTTTATCGGAGTTTATTTTTCGCAGGGTAGTCGGGGTTTATTGGAGTTTATTTTTCGCAGGGTATTCGGGGTTTATTGGAGTTCATTCTTCGCTGGGTGTTTGGGGTCTATCGGAGTTTATTCAGTGATGTGATTGCTGCGCCAATTGCGCCAAATTGCGCCAAGGGGCTAACCCTGCTACATCCTGCTACATTTTGCCAAAATATGAGTAATCTGCGCCAAGCCTGCGCCAAATGACCAATTTTGGTCGCCTTTCAAAACCGAAACTAAGCTGAGTACCGTAAATGAGCACGTGTGAGCTAGGTGGCGCAAGCGGCCGCCCGACACAAAGCTCCCTGCATCAATCGTTGATCTCGTCTTGCGTGGTTTTTCCCGCCGTCTCTCGTTTCGCGCTCTCGTTGTCTCGCGTTTTTTTTTTTTTTTTTTTTTTTAATTTTAGCGATAGACATGTTCGTGTGCAGACGCTCCGAGACTAGCGTGCCGAGTATCAGCCATGTCATCATGCTTTGAAACGAAATTATGTTTCTGTGCGGCGGGAGTTGCTTTGTGAGCTGGAGCACCCGCTCCAGAAAGCAACAGCCGTGGGAATACTATATTTGGTACCTGCCTGCCAGTCGCCGTGGTCGCGCGACGTCGGGTGTTGCCGTCCGCACGTCGCTGCAGATATGGCGCTTTTCAAAATAAAAATAAGTACCGCGACAAGTTCATCAACATTTCTGTTCTCGTTTAAATCACGCGTTACTACAAAAATCTACCTTTAACTCAGACTGATGTGTCGAAGCATTGATTGCCTAGGTTTCTCTCGGTGAGCCTTCTTTCGGGATGAACCCTGGTACGTGAAAAATCTGCCGCGAAAGAAATTTGTTGGAGAGAAGTGAGCTAAAGCAAAGAAGGCAATGTCTGCACTCTGAACCCGCACAGCGCACTTGTTTGCCTTGAGTTCGGAAGAACGTTTTGATCCTGGCTTGCCATGTCTTGCATCGATGTGCTCAGGTTCCTTTTTTTTTTCTCTGTGTGTTTAGCTTGTACCTTGCCTGATGGCCTGGCAAGCGCTGGACTGTTTTTTGTCGTATGCTGGACAATTTATATTTTGCAAACAATTTTGGGAACCAGTTGGCGACGGAGCAGAGTGACATGGTTTCGATCGAAGAGCCATCTCCGCTCGCGTGACAATTTTGCATTGCATTGTAGTAAATACATGTTTAATCAGTTGGAGACTTATTCCATTTATTATATAACTAGTCTATCTAATACTGTGCTATTTACTACTAAGCTGGTCGTTTTCAAATAAATTTTAATATGTGCAGTTTGGTTCTTATTTAACTATAGTGCGTACATAAATCTGTATAATTTAACTGAAGCATTGCAAAATGTGTCATGTCAAAGGCATTTCAGTTACATGTTGAAAGACTCCCAGGTGGTCTAACTTGACTATAATTTGTTGATTGCGGCGAGCAAAGTGTTTTTCGTCTGTCCAACACTTAAAGCGATTATTTTTATTTTTTCTGAGAATATCTGCTCCAAAAGCCACGTTTGCTGCTCCAAAACACTGTTTTGGCTGCTCCAAAGGCCACTTATGCTGCTCCAAAACACTATTTTGGCTGCTCCAAAAGGTGCTCCAAAACGGCTTAGGCCAATCACATCACTGTTATTTTTCGCTGGGTATTTGGGGTTTATCGGAGTTTATTTTTCGCAGGGTATTCGGGGTTTATTGGAGTTCATTTTTCGCTGGGTGTTTGGGGTTTATCGGAGTTTATTTTTCGCTGGGTATTTGGGGTTTATCGGAGTTTATTTTTCGCAGGGTATTCGGGGTTTATTGGAGTTTATTTTCCGCTAGGTACTGTAAAACCCTTTATTTTCGCGGCCCCTATTTTTCGCGAATCGGTCACAGATGACATAATCGCGACCACTAAATTTCGCGAATTCCAGACGCCTGCATTGAAAATCTTAAGAAACAAAATTTTCGCGCGCCCTTAAATTTCGCAAATTCTTCAATTCGCGAAAATTGAGGGCTCGCGAACATTAAGCGTTTTACAGTATTTGGGGTTTATCGGAGTTTATTTTTCGCAGGGTATTCGAGGTTTATTAGAGTTCATTTTTCGCTGGGTGTTATGGTTTATCGGAGTTTATTTTTCGCTGGGTATTTGGGGTTTATCAGAGTTTATTTTTCGCAGGGTATTCGGGGTTTATTGGAGTTCATTTTTTGCGGGGTGTTTGGGGTTTATTGGAGTTTATTTTTCGCTGTGTATTTGGGGTTTATCGGAGTTTATTTTTCGCAGGGTATTCGGGGTTCATTGGAGTTTATTTTTTGCAGGGTATTCGGGGTTTATTGGAGTTCATTTTTCGCTGGGTATTTGGGGTTTATCGGAGTTTATTTTTCGCTGGGTATTTGGGGTTTATCGGAGTTTATTTTTCGCAGGGTATTCGGGGTTTATCGGGGTTTGGTATTCAGGGTTTATCGGAGTTTATTTTTCGCAGGGTATTCGGGGTTTATGGGAGTTTATTTTTCGCAGGGTATTCGGGCTTAATTGGAGTTCATTTTTCGCTGGGTGTTTGGGGTTTATCGGAGTTTATTTTTCGCTGGGTATTTGGGGTTTATCGGAGTTTATGTTTCGCTGGGTATTTGGGGTTTATCGGAGTTTATTTTTCGCTGGGTATTTGGGGTTTATCGGAGTTTATTTTTCGCAGGGTATTCGGGGTTTATTGGAGTTTATTTTTCGCTGGGTATTCGGGGTTTATCGGAGTTTATTTTTCGCAGGG